GCTAACCTTGGGGTTAGCAGTTCAAAACCACCAGTAGCTCTGTGGGGAAAATTGAGGGGTTCTACTCCCATGAAGAGTTCTCTTTCTCACTCACTGCCAGTGAATTATTGCTGACTCATAGCGGCCCCGTAGGTTTCTGAGACTAACTGTTTACAGGAGTGGAAAGCCCATTCTTTCACGGAGCTGCTAGTGATTTCAAACTGCCAGCCACTTGGGTTGCAGCCCAACTCGCAACCACTACACCACCAGGGGTCCCTCCATAATGAGTTACAGTCTCAGACACCGACCAGGGCAGTGCTATCCTGTCCTAAAGGCTTACTAGGAGTCAGAATTGACGCCAAGGAAATGAGTTTAGTTTGACTTCGTATGGCCCACAATTCCCAAAATATTTAGTATCTGGCCCTTTAGAGATGAAATCAGCCAAACCCTTGTACAGTTTCAACAGTGAGGTAAGTTGTATATGTTACCATAGAAAGAGGCAGGGTGTATAGGTGAATATGGAGTGCCTGCATGATGCACACAGTTAATGTGCTTGACTAGGAAGCAAGGGTTGAACCCGTTTAGATGCCTCAAAGGAAAGGATGTTGAGATGTAGTCAGTTAAGATGGCCCTTCAGTCAATCCCTTTGTGATGTAAATTTTACCCTCTATGCTGCGGTTATAAGCCCACTTTGGAGGGATTTCTCTGTTACGCACATGGACAGGATTAAAGCAGGGGTGTGTTCTGAGTCTTCCTTTTACTCAAGCAAGTGTGTAACCCGAGTTACTCTTGTTTCCTCTGGGGTATGGTCTACTCCAGGGTCTCTTCTGGCATCTATTTTAATATCCCCTTTCTTTTCTGTGTTTTTAATGGCCTTTTGGTTTCTTCATGTACAATTTTCAGAAGAGACTCTGAAACTTGCTCTTTATCATAGAGCAGCTAAAGCAAATGGAAGAAAGGATGAAGTCAAAGAGCTGAACAGAAATTTTCTAAGGGCAGATGGAGAAGACCAAGTGAAGTATTGTAATGAAATGTGCAAACACCTGGAGTTAGAAAAACAAAATGGAAGTATACACTTAGCGTAGTTCAAGCTGAAAAAAAACACTGAAAAATGCAAACTTTATGTTCAATATAGAAAGAGTCTATAGGCAAATTATTGAATGCCGCAGGAAGCATCAAAAGAAAATGGCAGGAATACAGAGCATCACTGTATCACTTAGAACTGGTAGACAATCAACCATTTCAGGAGGCCGCATATGATCCAGAACCAATAATCCCAAAGGAAGAAATCCAGGCAGCATTAGCCCCAAACAAGACTCCAGTAATTGATGTAGTATCAATTGAAATGTTTCAGCACACTGACTAAGCACTGGATGCATTCATTCATCTATGCCAAGGAATTTGAGAAACAGTTATCTAGCTAATTGACTGGAAGAGATCCATATTTATACTCATTCCAAAGAAAGGTGACCCAGAAGAATGCAGAAATTTAAAAATATCATTACTATCATATGCAAGTAAAGTTTTGCAAAGATCATTCAACAGTTGCAGCAGTACATCAACAGACCTTCAGGCTGGATTCAACGAGGACGTGGAACAAGGGATAGCTATCCTTGCTGATGTCAGCTGGATCTTGGATGAAAGCAGAGAATACCAGGAAGATGTTTGCTGTGTTTTGTGTACTATGCAAAGACAGTCAACTGTGTGGATCAAAACACGAGGTGCCAAAGGGATCAGTTATCAGGCACCAAAGAACAAAAAATCATATCATTGTGTGCTCACCTCCCTGATATGATCGCTGAAGACAAATGGGTATATAAACAAATGTGGTGAAGAAAGCTGATGGTTCCTGGCTATCAAGAGATACAGCATCTGGGGTCTTAAAGGCTTGAAGGTAAACAAGTAGCCATCTAGCTCAGAAGCAACAAAGCCCACATGGAAAAAGCACACCAGCCTGTGTGATCACGAGGTGTTTCAGGCATCATCAGAACAAAATGTCATATCATTGTGAATGAGGGGAAGTGCGGAGTGGAGACCCAAAGCCCATCTCTAGGCAATTGGACATCCCCTTACGGAAGGGTTGCGGGGAGGAAAGGAGCCAGTCAGGGTGCAGTGCAGCAATGATGAAACATACGACTTTCCTCTAGTTCCTGAATGCTTCCCCCCACCCCTACTATCATGATCCCAATTCTACCTTACAAATCTGGCTAGACCAGAAGATGGACACTGGTACAGATAGGAACTGGAAACACAGGGAATCCAGGGC